TGGACTAAGAAGAGAAGGACTAAGAACTGGTGGCCAGGAGCAGACTTGAAGAATGTGTCCTTTGGAGATGTAAATTATTATATATGCCTGAGTGTTGTTGTTTTTAAAAAGCTAAAGTGACTAGAGAGAAATCCTGTTAACTGATGGTACATGGAGGGGATTATAATCATTGTAATGAAATAAGGTGTAGGATTTGTTGAATGTAAAACTGATGATCTGCCCTGTAAACTTTCACTCAATCCACAATAAAAACCTTAAAAAAAAAAAATGAAAATCCCGTCAGTTATGCAGTGGTGTTTCAGCAAACATCCCGTTCCGCCAAGATGACCAGGGTCACAGTTAAAGCCTTTGCAAGGGAAAAGGGCTGTCTTGCACCAACTACATACACACACAAACACACACACATGCCTGCCCCCGATCAGCTCCCCATGCTTGTGCAAGAGGGCTGTTTCATCGCGAGGTCCTGGTATTTTTGCTTTCCAAAGTACGTACCCAACATTCCATAGTCGCATAACCCATAATGCCCACTCGGGCAGTATTCAACCACTTCTATGTCCATGATCCCATACGGTTATAATGAAAAACTAACCTAAACTCACTGCCATGGGGTCGGCCACACACAGAGTTTCCGAGGATGTACATCTTTACCAGAGCAGAAAGACTCCATTGTCTCTGGTGTAGCAGCTTGTGGGTTTGAACTGCCGACCTTGTGGTTAGCGCCCAGTGCTTAGCCTATAGTGACACCAGGGCACCTCTATAAAGGTTATAATGTTGTTATTGGAGTCCTGGTGGGGCGCCGTAGGAGAACAGGACACAGCAAATGTGATGTTCCTGCAACCGATTACAAAGCAAATGTGCTACCAGTGATGTGGTACATGGGGGAATGTGGTACCTGGGGGGATGTGGTACGTGGGGGAATGTGGTACCTGGCAGTTACTGGCTACAGCTTTTCCATCTACAGTCTTCAATGCCACCAAGAGACTGGGTGGGCCACGAAGATAAGGTGTGTAGGGCTCTGAGGCTGGGATTGGTTCACTTTGCCCTCCAGCTAGGAGCCATCTCAGAAGCAGAGACAGAAGATCCCAGGCCCATCAAGAAGGAAGAACATGAGTGGAGTGTGAGGTTCCTACCTAGAAAAGTGGACGGCAGAGGCTACAGCAGAGGTGATGGTAGACACAGTGTATGCAGAGACAGAGCGGCTGTGGGCTCTAGGCCCATGGACTGAGTAAGGCCGAGTGTCTACGGGCAGGAGACTGACTCACAGAGGTGATGGGAGACCCGGTGTATGCAGAGACAGAGCAGCTGTGGGCTCTAGGCCCATGGACTGAGTAAAGCTGAGTGTCTACGGGCAGGAGACTGACTCACAGAGGTGATGGTAGACACGGTGTATGCAGAGACAGAGCGGCTGTGGGCTCTAGGCCCATGGACTGAGTAAAGCCGAGTGCCCACGGGCAGGAGACTGGCTTATAGAGGTGATGGGAGACACAGTGTATGCAGAGACAGAGCGGCTGTGGGCTCTAGTACATGGACCGAGTAAAGCCGAGTGTCCACGGGCAGGAGACTGGCTCACAGAGGTGATGGTAGACACGGTGTATGCAGAGACAGAGCGGCTGTGGGCTCTAGTACATGGACCGAGTAAAGCCGAGTGCCCACGGGCAGGAGACTGGCTTACAGAAGGTGCCCTTTGGGCATTCACAGACTAGATAAAGAACTTAGTAACATGTGCTCAAGCAGGACAGAGGCCAAGGGGCCCCATGGCTGAGAGGCTGAAGACAAGAGTGAGACGTGCCTACGTCTGGGAGACAGGCGGCATTCCTGATGGGAGAACTGCTGTGTCCTGAGTGGGTTTTCATCCTGAATTGTACCCTGTTCACTTCCTAATAGACTCCACAATCGTGAGTATAGTTATGAGTTCTGAGTGACCAGGACTATGGACTGTGGAGCCCAGATGTGAGGCAGAGAGCCATGGGAGGGACAGTTGGTGTCAGACTAGGGGACAGAAGGCTGTAGGGTGGGAGCAGGTCTGACTTCCGTGCCATAAGAATTGGTGTTGGACTGATTTTGAGTTTTACTCTCTTCCCTCTTGTGAAGCCAGGAAGACTGAGACCCCCCACATGGTTTTTCCAAGGGGGCTTCAACAAGCGTGTGGGAAATTCCGTTATCTTTCCATTCCATTTTTCCGCAAACCTCTCAAAGCCGTTGTACAGTCACAACAGGCGCCTATGTCACGGGCTCCCAGGTGCACGCTCCCGTTCCGAACCTCCCATCTATCACGCTCACGGCATAAAGGGCGTGCTGTGCCCCACACCTCGAGCGCTGCAGCATCCCTGTGAAGGGCACCGTGGCTCCCAGAAGCAGCAAACCCAGCACCACTGAGAGCAGCAGCAAGAGGAAAAACTGCCTGACTTGGAAGTGAAACAGGAGGTCATTAAAGCACGAAGGTGGAAACCCGTGATGGCTCCTGCTCAGGTTACGGCACGCTGCACTCGACCCTCACACACCACGAGGAAAACCCCTCCACGCTGTGAAGTTACTGGCTCCACTGAAGTGACAAGGCTGAGGGAAACGTGAGCGGGCAGTGTGTCAGACACGGAGACGCTGCTCATGCCGTGGACTGAGGAGCACAGCCAACAGTGACTCCCTGTCAGCTGCCAGCCGTCACAGGAAGCTGTCGAGATGCCTAAAGAAAAAGCAGGGCCTGGCTATGGTGTGGTGCTCACACAACCTTCTCCGTCATGGAACGTACGTACGGCAGGCATTAGGTGGGGCATGAGTGTACCCAGCTTTGTGGCCAATCAGCTAACTGGGGTCAATCACAACTACTCAACAACACTCACCGAGTCGGAAAAGTATTTCACTGTGAAATCAGAGACACCTGCCCCCAAATCAAGTTCCTTGAAAGGCAGGAAGGGGCAGGGAAGAAAGACGAACGGAATGGGGAAATGCAAGGAGCGAGGAGAGTTACATGGAGGATGGCACACAGCGTCACCAAACAAAATCTGTACAAGGCGTTGACTGGAATCTAATTTGCTGGGTCAAGCCACAATAAAATGCTCAAAACCACAAAAATCCTCAGAAGAATGAGTACCTGAAGGAGCAGCCAGGTGCACGTGAGTAACTGCAACCATTTCCCGAGAAAGCCGTGCGGCGTGGGGCTCAGCACCAGTTTGCAAACTACAGCTACGGCGCAGGCAGGCACTGAAATGCTTATCCATGGCAAATGTTCACATCTCGGACCGAGTCTTTACACCCAGACTTGCCAGGCCCAGAAGACTGGTCTTGAGTAAACCATGAATTGAAATCCAAGTTTCCACAAGACCTCGGGAGCCCATGGTTTTGAGGCCACGGTCAGTGGACTACAGAGCTGTGACAGGCCAGCCCCGGGAGGGCGTTCACGAGAAGGGTCAGGAAAGAGGGGAAAGGAAACAGGAAGCAGAGGGGTGAGAGATGTCACGCTGCAAGGACCACAATCAGAGACATGAATGGTGGTGTCGAAAATGGCTCTGCTCTGTAAAACTACACCCAACTTTTTATAAACGATACAAAGTTTGAAATAAAAAGAGAGACGGGAAGACCTTAAAGCCACAGACACAGAGCCAGGAAGCAGATACTCACCATCTGCGGCACTCCGAAAATAACCACATTGGAGAACTGCGAAAACGTCACCTAGCCGAGGGGAGCAAAGCACAGGATAAGTTAGACAAGCCAAACGCTGGGTTTTGATTTCTGTTCTACAGACACGAGCAGCAACGCTCCATTTTGTCAACACGCTCTGCTGGTCCTCAAGAGTCCAGGAGGAAGGCAGTAGGAAACTCACCCTTTGCTCGCGGTCCTTCACTACATGGAAACCACTGTGCTCCAGGGAGCTTCCAAGGGCTGGCTTGGGGGAAGTAAGTGCTTTAACCAACTGTACCGCTAGCTAAGGGGCCCCTTCAATCCATCACAGCTGTCCAAACGCCTGCCCTTAGGTCAGCTCATGCTCACGGCGGGCCCACTCAGGACATGTGGCTCCACCAACTATCCACCCTCCGGGTTTCTGTACCACACGATGTGCTATGTTGAACCATTCCCAAACCAGAGTCCTATCCTTGGTGAAGTACTCGGTGAAACAGGAAGTACCGAGGGCTCTTGTGAGAAACTGGGCGGAAAATGCTCCGTCAGGCAAACTTCATATTGCCCAAAAGAGTCCTAGTGTGGCGCTGTGGGTTAATGCGTCCGACTGCAAAGCCGTTTGAACTGCAAGGTCGCCGGTTCAAGCTCACCAGCTGCTCCTTGGAAACCCTATACAGGGTCGCTGTGGGTCGGAATCAACTCGACGGCACTTAACAACAACAAAGGCGCTCTACGGAGCTCTGGTAGCATAATGGTTAAGAATTGGGCTGCGAACCGCAAGGTCAGCAGTTCGAAACTACCAGCTGTCCCAAGGGGGAAAGATGAGGCTTTCTGCTCCGGAAACCCTCACAACAAAAACAATTAAAATCTGATCTACTCAACTATGAAGAAGACCGCAAGCAAATGCAAGCTGATTTGATCAGCTACTGACGGCAGTATTACAATGAGAAGTTTGTAATACAGCGTTTAATGGAGTATTCTAAACAAAATAACAGAGCACAAATCCGCATGCAAAGCGCCTTCTATTTTCTAAGGGCAGGAAGTTGATGAAGTCTATTTTTCCTCATCTATCACTCCTTTCAAAGGCGCTCTGGTAGCGTAGTGGTTACGAATCGGGCTGCAAACCGCAAGGTCAGCAGCTCGAAACTCCCAGCTGTTCCACGGGAGAAAGATGAGGCTTTCTGCTCCCATAAAGATTTACAGCCTCGGAAACCCTGTGCAGGGGCGCTATGAGCCGGAACCGACTCCACGGCACATAACAACAACAATCACCCCTTTCCATCTGTCAGTACTCATCACACAGACACACACATATACACACCCTGACACACTTACACAAGTACACACACACTCTCATACTCACACTGACATACACTCACTCACACAGATAACTACACACACACACGCAGTCCTCCTGAGTGACACGGTAAATGCCATCTAGTCAATTTCGACTCTCAGCGTCTCTGCGTAGGGTTTCTAAAAGCAGCTGGTGGGTTAGAACCGCTGACCTTTGGTTGTCTGTCTAAGGGTTGTCTTACCCTACAGCACCACAGCAGGGCCGAGTGACCTACCTTCCACAAATCGGACCTGTGGAACGTGGCAGACTCGTGCACACCTTCTCGCCACGCCCGGTATCGGGAGTACCACACCAGCCATGGGTTTAGCTCATAACCAACAGCTGGGAACCCCTCCTTGGCAGCTGCTATCACCTATGGAAACAGGGGTTCACAAGGAGTTCAGAACAAGAACATCAATTTGTTTGCTTCTTGGTACTTTAGGTCTACAGTTCCCAAACTATCCAATCAAGGAGCTCCTCAGCCCCACAGCTCAGCAGGCCGGCTCCTTCAAATGTGCGCCTTCCCGAGAAGCGACAAGACGCTCTGGCAGAAACCTGCACACACAATGCAGATCAGCACGGCACACAGTCAGCAAGAGAGCCGCAACCCCAGGGCCCGCAGTGGGTGAAGGCTGGGAGGGGTGGGTGGTGTTGCCAAGTCAGTTTTGCAGCAGGGCGACCTTGTGAACACCAGAACAAAACCTGCCCGTCCTGGACCAACCTCACAATCACTGCCACGCGGGAGCCTATCGCTGCTGCCTCTGAGCCAGGCCATCTCACTGGGGGTCTTCCGCTTTTTCACTGACCCTCCACTTCACCAAGCATGATCTCCTTCTCCAGAGATGGAAACACATAATCAGGTCCTACCGAACAATCGAGTGGTGACCGGTCATAAAGAGAAACGGGCTCCGGTCCACGCTAGGGCACGCTAGGTGAACCCTGAAAACAGGCTGAGTGAAGAAAGTCGGTCATAAAAGACCCGACACCATATGATTCTGTTGATAGAAAATGTTCAGAACCGGCAAATCAATCCGTCAAACAGATGCCTGGTCACCAGGGATTGGAGAAGAGGGCGTGCGGGGGGGCGGGTCACGGCCTGAGACCCCTTTCTGAGGTGAAGAAAACCTGGGGGCTGTACACCAGGGGGGTGCACTTAGGGTCATGGAACTACGTGAAAACTTGCACAGGAGAACTGAAGCAGGCGGAAAGTCTCCAGCTGCAAACTCAGGTCCCTCCACGCAGTGTACTGCTCAGCCGTCAAGAGACACGGCGGAGTCCGTGCCACGCCACGTGACGTACATTTGTGGAGGAGCCACGCAGGTTCCACTTCATCACGTGTGTTGAAGACGTCAGCAGGAAGGACAGCAGAGCTGGAGTATCAGAGTCGATGCTCAGCTTTGCATAACTCAGTCTGGGGTAGCCAACGCTGTGGGGTCTCCCTGACAGTGAGCTGGCCAGTCACGGGTGGGAGGCAACAAGCCCCTGGGATGACCTGTGAGGTAAGCACTGTTGTTGCTACTGTTGAGGGTCCCGAGCTGGTTCTGACTCTTAGTGACCCTGCACAGGGCTTCAGAGACTGTACATGCTCGTGGGTGCAGAAAGCCTCATCTGTGTTCTGGGGAGCAGCCCGTGGACTTGAACCGCCGACTTTGCGGTTCGCAGTCCAGTGCTCATCTTACAGAGCCACAGCACTCCCACGGATGAACAGCATCACGCAGGAAGAACCAACAGCCTGCGCTCCGTCGCCTTTCCTAGGCATTCAGAGCTTGGCCTAGAAACCCTATACAGGTTCTCTAGGAGTCGGAACCGACTCCACAGCACACCACCACCACTACGCTTTCATTTTCTGGTAGAACAGACACCACAAGGGGGAGGCTTTAACAAATAGAAGGGTTTTTTTGTCGTTAATTGTTGTTGATGAGTGTTGTCGAGTAGGTTCCAACCCATAGCGACCCTGTACAGGGTTTCCAAGGAGTGACTGGTGAGCTTGAACCGCCCACTTTGTGGTTCAAACAACTTTGCAATCCAGCACGTGAAGCCGCAACACCACCCCAAGTCCAGGGAAAGGTTTCTCTGTGGGTTCTGGCGGAAGGTCCTCATCTCCCCTCTATAACCTCTGCAGGTCTGGAGTTCCTGGAGACCTCCACACGCCTTGGCGTCAGTCCTGCCCGGGATCAGGAGCATCACAGGCAGGGACCGAGGACCAGAGAAGAGCCACCTCCGCTCTTTCTTTCTTGGCGGTAGGCGTCCCTCTCTCTGCTCATTTCTTTCGCCTTTTATCTCACCCCCCAGGGAAACTCCGCTTACATGGGATCGGGCTGTGCCCCAGTAGGGGGATGCACATCTCCAATCCCCTTACATCAGATCACGTGGTGGGGTGATTACATCATCACATCACCGCCAAACCACGGAAAACCCAGGTCCAGTCACGTGGACACACATTGGGGAGGTGGGGGGGACATACTGGCTCAAGTCTTTTTAGCAGACAACTTGATGGTTAGATAAGCACCGACTAATGCTTCTATCTCAACTGACACTTGCCATATTCTCTCTCCCTTAAAAGAAAGTTCAAGCTGAGGAAAACCAATCCCAAACTCACGGAGAGTGTTAGTCGGGCAACACACACAGAATTAAACAACTACTTTTTTAAAAGGTCTGAGTCCGCACAAGAGGCACAAGGCTCACAAGACAAGCAAGAGAGAAAACACTGTAGCCCTTCTGGACCCAAACCCGAGCAGCGTCAGAGGGGGCTCACCACGCGCCCGTCCCCACTGCCGATGTCCACCAGGGGCCCGCTCCGGCTGCGTAGCATCCTCACAACGTTGTCCAGCTGCCGCGGGGTGGCAGGAACGAAGGGCAGGCACACTCGGCGCAGGGCTGGCATCACAAAAGGGGTGGCCACTGCATACACGGCCACCAGCACCCCGCCAACAGCCCCGGTCAAGAGGAGCCCCCAGCGACTTTCCTTCGAGCGGTCAGCTTCAGGTGGGGGAGGACTTGCTCCAGGGAGCAATTCCAGGGAGACACCTAGGATGGGGACAAGCAGAACAGACATGGATGGCACCACATACAAGAGATCCAAGAGTAACCATGCTCCCACCAAAGTCCACTGCCAACAAGTCCACTCTGACTTACGGCAACTCTATAGGAGAGTGGAACTACCCGCCCCTTAGGGTTTCCAGGACTGTACATCCAGGGGCAGACTGCCTCACCTATCTCCCACCAAGCAGCTCAGGGGTTCGAACCACCAACCTTTTGGTTATCAGCCCACTGTTGAGCAGACTGCAGCACCAACTTGGCTGACTGCTGTCTAGCTTGTGAATAAGGCGTTGGCAAAGAATATTGCAAGTACCATGAAGTGCCAGGAAAAGAAACAAATCTATGCTGAAAGTACAGCCGAATGCGCCTTAGAATCAAAAACGGTAACTCAGTCTCCTGTATTTGGACATGTTGTCAGGAGGAACCAGTCTCTAGAGACGGGCATCATACTTGGCAAACTAGTGGGTCAGGGAAACAAGATGGACTAGTGGTCTCCAACCAAGGGTTCAAACGTGGCAGTCATTGTGAGGATGGTATGGACCGGGCAGCGTTCTAGTCACTGAGTCAGAACCAAGTGAACAACAAATATTTTCTCTAGAGTCTGAAGTCAGTCGACAGGTGACTGACAAATTCAGGAGCAAGGCCAGCCAAACTCTAGCTCACCTATGTGGGCGGGTTTCCGGCCTTCTGCCAGGAACACAATCTAGAGAGTTCCTGGCCACATGGATTCCCAGCCCAGCGTGTCTGAGTGTGGGTCAGGTCAGGACACGGTAGGTTGTGAGAAATACTGAAGGGAGTTGTTGTTGTTGTTAAGTGCCATCGAGTCAGTTCCGATAGATAGTTTCGAACTGCTGACCTTAAGGTTCGCAGCCCGATTCATAACCACTACGCTACCAGAGCTCCTTACTGAAGGGAGCAGGGGGATACAAATATGGGTACAGAAATCAGGGTGAGCTGGAGGAAAGACTGATTCCAACAATGGGGCCTGTAAGGAGCTGGCAGACAGAAAGTTTGAGCGGGCCCATGTGAGGGAGGTAGGCCTGCGCACTTGGAGAAGCCAGCCACAGAACCCACGGGTACGAGTTGATTCGGAATCACGAGACCCCCATGTGTTAGAGGAGACCTGCACCATCAGGTCTTCTAGGCAACCATCTTTACTAAAGCAGATCACCAGGTCCTTCCTCAGCCGCACTTTTAGTTGTCGGTCCATTTGCGACACTAGGGGTCCTGGCTGGGCAAACCACAGAGTCCAGTCCACTGCGCAGTGGGTTCTGACTCACAGTGCCCTCTCCACGGCTTCTGAGACTGTAAATCTTCAAAGGAACAGACAGCTTCATCTTGCTCCCATGGAAGGGCAGGTGGGTGTGAGCGGCCCAATTTGAAATGAGCAGTCCAGCGCTTATCGTACAGTGCTTATCATACAGTGCCAAACCAAAACTTCCTTATGCTCTCATTGGTAAGTGTCTTCGAGTCGGTTCCAATTCACAGAGACTCGGTATAAGGTTTGTGAGAAGCGGCTGGTGAGCTTGAACAACCCAACTTGCAGTTCAAATCCACCTGTATGTAGTCCAATGCTTATCCTACAGAGCCACAATACCCTTATGTTGTGAAGTGCCGCCGAGTCGTTCCGACCCATAACGACCCTGTATAGGGTTTCCAGGAGCGGCTGGTGAGCTTGAACCAGCAACCTGGCGGACCAAACCGATTTTGCAGTCGAGCGCATTAACCCAAAGCAGCCCTACAAAGTAGCTAAACCTGTGAGCGGTGCAAACAATTAAAGAGCTCAGCTGTTCACTGAAAGGTAGGCGGTTCAAGCCCACCCTCGGAAGAAAGTCCTGGCGATCTGTGACGAAGAAGTCGGCCATTGAAGCCCCTAAGGAGCACGGTTCTGCCCAACACATGTGGGGTGACCACTAGTGGACTGCACGCCCCGGCTGGTCTTATAGAGGAGATACTCTTGCTACTCTTGTCCATGTGTGCAGGTGAGGAGCACAGAGACGTAAAGCTACCTCCCCAGTGGCACCCAGCCAGGGAACCCGGAGCGGTGGCCTAGCCCCTCCCAGCGCCCCCGGAGCCCAAGCCGGAGATCTCGACCGCGCCGCCGGCCTCACCTCCGTTCGCCATCGCGAGATTTCCGGCGGCTTGAACGCGATCCGGAAGTGGGGCCTTCCATTCTCTCGGGCCCGAAAGAACGTAAGAAAGTACGTAAGTTAACGGTCTCCCAGCGGGAACCCACAGCTCAGAAACCGCTAATTACATGGCTATAAAATAGTACTAACTTCCGTCATTTTTTAGCTTGGGGGCTCTACAACTTCACATCCGGGCCGTCGAGACTTCCCCCCATCGTTTCCTGGAGATAGACGTTTCCATAGGTCGCGGCTTCTAGAAGTTGTGTCCCGGCGTTAAACTCGTCTCAGCTGCGAAATTCGTCTCGGGAGGCCGCAGTGCGCATGCGCGAGACGTAGCGTCCTCTCGCGATAGACCGGGCGCTGGTTCCGGAGCGGGCTCAACGGGTAGTCTGGAAATCGCTCGTGCTGCTGCATCATGGCGTCCATGGGGACCCTGGCCTTTGACGAGTATGGGCGCCCTTTCCTCATTATCAAGGACCAGGACCGCAAGTCCCGCCTCATGGGGCTCGAGGCCCTCAAGGTAACGGCGCGGGGGCCGGGCGGTGGGCGCGCGGCTGCCATGTGCGCCCGGCGAGTTCGCGGGGGACCCGGGCTCCTCAGACAGATCGCCTGAGCCCCGAGTTGGGCGTGGGCGCTGGGGCCCCTCCCTCAGCCCTTGGGGAACTCCCGGGGCCGGGCATGCGGAGCGGCTGCTGGGCTCGAACTGCCGACGGCCCTGCGGGTAGCACGTTTAACCCCCTGTGCCACTAGGGCCCTTTTCATCGGTGTTGGGGGTTCGAGTGCAGGAGCCCGGGACGCGTCCACTCGGCCGTGCGGACGCTGTGCCATGGGCTGGGTGTGCACGCCCACCCATGCTCAGCTGCTAACCAAAGCGTACCTCGGAAGAAAGGCCTGGCGGTCTCCTGGGGAACGAGCTCGGGGCTGCTCTCTGCCGAGCCGGTGCGGGCGCCGTGAGGGAGGGTCGCGGGCCGAGGGCCCTGGTGTGTGGACTGCAGGTGTGGCCCCCCCAGGTGGGAGGCTCCACGGGTCCTTGGGAGCCGCGGTATTGGGGTCGCTGTTGCTGAGTGCCTTCGAATGGAAGCGATTCACAGCGAGCCGGTGTAGGAATTCACGGATCTGGGGGGTTTGAACCAGTGGCCTTGTGGTTAGCAGTCCAGTGCTTATGCTCCGGCTTTGGGGTTAGTTGCCTCTTGCTGGTGGGTTGACCCTACCAGCGGCTCTGCGGGTTGAATCTCAGAAGCTTAGGGGGCACTTTCGCCCAGCCCTAGGGTCGACTGGAACGCAGCGGGTTCGCTTTAGGTTCCCACTCAGCAACCCCCTATGTAGGGGTTCCAGGGAGCTGCCCGTCACCTTCAACCACTACCTTGAGGTGCAAACCAACTTTGCAGTCCAGCACGTTAATCCACAGCTTAAATATATAAGCTTTTAGAGAATGCAAAGGAGTCTTGGTGTGACGCTGGAAGAAATGCACTCAACTGCAGTGTTGGTTTCCAGCAAGGTTAGTGGTTCAAACCCCCCAGCTGCTCCTTGTAAACCCTGTACCAGGGCGCTGTGAATTGGAGTCATCACAGCAGTATGTAACAACAGTAGAAACAAGACCACCGTGGGCTTTATACTTTTGGTTACTGAAATTAACAGTTTTTCCTGATTGTTTTGTTTAGTCTCATATAATGGCGGCGAAGGCTGTGGCAAATACAATGAGAACATCGCTTGGACCAAATGGTGAGTGTTCATAATCACTGCAAACCTAATTATGGAACATTGCTGTCGTCTTCCTGTCCCAGATACACCTGTTTGGTTGGTTTTTGGTATAGTCTAGACCAAGAAACAGACTAGCCTTTGATAGTGTTGATGCATCGTTTTGATGCGTTCTGTTAGCTCAGCTCCTTTCTGTTGATTTTAAGTGGCATCCGTTGGTAGAAGGCACCACCACCCATAGTGTGCCATTGTTGCTGAGTGCCACCGAGTGGGTTCCAACACCACAGACACTAAAGTGGCCGAGTGTCCCGCTGTGGCTCTCTAGGATAAGCACTGAGGTGCTAACTGCTGGGTCTACAGTTCAAACCTACCAGGCGCTCCTGGGAAACCTATGCAGGTCTCTAGGAGTTGGGCCCCCTTCGGTGGTGCTTACCACCAACAAGGGCACACTACAGTTGGCAGGGCCTTGTAATGTCGGCCCCGTTGTGCACTTGTGGCCCAGTGCAGGCGTCTGCGTTGCTCTCCGTGGTTTGTGGTGGTGTGAAGTTTTTTGGCTTTCAGGGCTTGACAAGATGATGGTGGACAAGGACGGCGACGTGACAGTGACGAATGACGGGGCCACCATCCTGAGCATGATGGACGTTGACCACCAGATCGCCAAGCTGATGGTGGAACTCTCCAAGTCACAGGACGACGAGATTGGAGACGGCACCACGGGAGTGGTTGGTAAGGGCTCTCTGGACTGGATCGTGGGGAACCCTCACAAGTGCGCGGGTGACGCTCAGTTGGTTGTTCGATGGCATCAAGGGTGCGGGGTGCAGGGCCATCCTTAAGGGTGGTGTGTCGTGCTTTCTATAACTAATACTCGAGTTGTTGTTAAGTGCCATCCAGTTGGTCCCAACTCAGAGCAACCCAGAAAAGGTTTTCAGTGAATGGCTGATGGATTTGAGCTAATGCCCTTGTGATCCAGCATATTTCTCCCACAGCACCACACCAGGACTCCTGTAGTTAGTGGTGGTTGTGTGCCGTGGAGTCAGTTTTGACTCGTAGTAAGGAGTTCCAAGGCTGTAAATCTTTATGGGAGCCGAACAACTGGTAGTTTCCAACTGCTGACCTGGAGGTTAGCAGCCCAACTTGTAACCGGTGGTTCACTACCAGAGCTTCTTTGTTGTTAGTGCCATCGAGTCGGTTCCGACCCATAGTGACCCTGCATAGGATTTCCAAGGGTCGGCCAGTGAGCTTGAACCAGCAACCTTGCGGTTCAGCATATTAACCCACAGCACCTCACCTAGATGCCAGAGCTCCTTTGTTAAATGCCGTCGAGTCAATTCCAACCCATAGTGACCTTGTATAGGGTTTCCAAGGAGCAGCTGGTGAGTTTGAACCACCGACCTTGCAGTTCAAATGACTGTGCAGTCTGACTCATTTGTGTGGAGCCAGTTAAGAAGCTGATATGGCCTCCATTAAACTGTTCCTGCCGCTCCTCTGGCGGTGGGGAAGGTCGACCTTTTCTGCAGATGAGACTCGAATCCATTTCTTCTGCAAAGTCTCGTCGTGTCCCTGTCTGGGGTGTTTGGAGGCAGCAGTGATTCAAGTGCACACCATCCTACCTTCCTGGCACTAAGATGAGGGACGGGAAAGCTGCTGAGGGCAGGGAACCAGACAGTAAAGTTGTCTGTTCTTAACCGGGGTTGAGGACCCTAGGTGGTAAGCTAGGCTGCTACCCCAAGGGTCAAACCACCCAGTGGTAAAGTGCAAGAAAGGTGCTGGCAATCAGCTTCTGTTCGGCTGGCAGCCAAAAAAACCCCAGGAGTTGAAGTGATGTTCATTTGCTACAAGTCCATGTCTCAGAAGACAGTTTTCCTCGTGAAGATGTGTGTTGTTTTACATCAGATTCTTACTTGTTTGGGAGACCCCCGGCCTTGCAGAGTAGAACTGCTCCGCAGGGTTTTCTTGACTTATCTCCATGATGCCTCTGGCTGGACTTGAACTACCAGCCTTCTGGTTGCCAGCTGAGTGCACACCGCTTACCACTCGGGGCTTTTACTTGATTTAAAATCGAATGTCCATCTACATAACTGTTGACTGGGCTTCCTGTCCCCTCCGGTTCCTGGCCACCCTCTGTGTGCAGAGGATTTTCAAGGCTGTGGCCCTCGGGGAGCTAATCCCAGACCGTACCTCCAAGGAGTCGAGGGTTTGGCCCTCCAGCGCTTAGCCCTTTCCACCCTGTTTGTGGGCGGGTGGGGTAAAGTTTTTCTGTGGAGTTGCTGCCAGCTTCTTTGTGGCCCCTCCTGCTCTGGTTTGTGGGAGAAAGCGAGGCAGTAACAGGTCCCTGGCTGGCTCTTTGCAGTCCTGGCCGGAGCCCTGCTGGAGGAGGCGGAGCAGCTGCTGGACCGAGGCATCCACCCCATCCGGATCGCTGACGGCTACGAGCAGGCTGCCCGCATCGCCATCGAACACCTGGACCACATCAGCGACAGCGTCCTGGTGGATGTGCTGGACACCGAGCCCCTGGTCCAGACGGCCAAGACCACGCTGGGCTCCAAAGTGTGCGTTCCAGGGGGGCAGGGACCACTGTCCTGGCTCCTTTCCACCTGTCCTCTGCTGGGACGCACTTGGGGGGAGTTGACTTTTCTTCATTTCAACAAGCAAATGTCAGCTTAGTAGGGAGAGGCCATCTGGATGCTGACCTTAGCTGGGGTGTGTTCTTACTAATGCGGACCACCAGGCCCCTTCTGTGATGTACAGAGAATCCCTGCGTAGGAACACTGGTGGGCCCAGAAACCCATTTTCCATGGGAGGGGGTCTTTCTAAGTTTCTGTGGTAGTTACTAGGCAAAAGTAGCAAGTGATCTCCAGTGGAGAGGTCAGGGCAAGCTTGACAGCATGTGTGTTTGTGTTGCCGCGCCGTCCACAGCGCCCTCCGCCTTGGTCATGGACTCCGAGCCCCCGCACTTGTGGGCAGGTTTGAGAATCGGCTCTGCTTCACAGGGTGAACAGCTGTCACCAGCAGATGGCCGAGATCGCAGTCAACGCCATCCTCACAGTCGCAGACATGCAGCGCAGAGACGTGGACTTTGAACTCATCAAGGTGGAGGGCAAGGTGGGCGGGCGGCTGGAGGACACAAAGCTCATTAAAGGTGTCATTGTGGACAAGGACTTCAGTCACCCCCAGATGCCAAAGGTGAGTCGCTGCCCTCAGCACACAGCTGGCCCAGGGCATAGGCCCACCCGCTGACAGTCGTGTTTCCCCACAGAGGGTGGAGAACGCCAAGATTGCGATTCTTACGTGCCCGTTTGAGCCACCGAAACCCAAGACAAAGCACAAGTTGGATGTGAGCTCTGTGGACGACTACAAAGCCCTCCAGAAGTATGAGAAGGAGAAGTTTGAGGAGATGATCCAACAGGTGAGTAGGGGTGGGGGGCGAGCCCACACAGCACGAGTTAGGGAAGCCAGGCTGGTTGCTCATGCCACACGGAAAGGTCAGCAGGCCTGACTGACCCGATGGAGCTGCAGATAAAAGGACTTGGCTTAAAGACCGGAGCCAAGACAACTCTGGGGGCAGTCTGTGTTGTCACACCGGGTCGTCAAGTTAGCCAGGCCTGTTAACACCGAGTAGAGGCCTGCTTTATTAACGGGGTGACAGTGTCTTTCCAGATTAAAGACACCGGTGCCAACCTGGCCATTTGCCAGTGGGGCTTTGACGACGAGGCAAACCACTTACTGCTGCAGAACAAGCTCCCTGCAGTCCGCTGGGTCGGAGGGCCGGAAATCGAGGTAGGAGGCCTCTGAGGAGTTGGAGCTGGGGTCCTGTGTGGCATGTAGTCGGTGCATTAGGGACGGGGTGTTGTCTCTCTCACACACAGTGTCCTGGGCGTGAGGTGTGCTGAGGGTTCAGAGGAAGCATGGCGAGTCGGGCCTCACTGGTCTCATGGGCTTTTGGTTGCACTTTTGTTGGGGGGACCTGGTGGATGATGGCAGCAGGTGTAGGGAACACAAGGTCCCGTGTTGACCTGCTCTCTGTTCTCCCCGACACCCTCCCATTAGCTGATCGCCATTGCCACTGGGGGGCGCATTGTCCCTCGCTTCTCAGAGCTCACCGCTGAGAAGCTGGGCTTTGCCGGGCTTGTGAAGGAGATCTCGTTTGGGACGACCAAGGACAAGATGCTGGTCATCGAGCAATGCAAGAACTCCAGGGCGGTCACCATCTTCATCCGCGGGGGCAACAAGATGGTGAGCATGCACTGGTGTACTCGGTCCCCTCTAGAATAGGGTTACATGTCGTTGGCTTGAATCCAAGGAACAGGTCCCTGGGGATTGGGTGTGGACGGAGGAGCAGGGTGGCCCCCATGCCGATGGGCCAACTTCTCTGCAGATCATCGAGGAGGCCAAGCGTTCCCTCCACGACGCCCTGTGTGTCATCCGGAACCTCGTCCGCGACAACAGAGTGGTGTATGGCGGTGGCGCTGCCGAGATCGCCTGTGCCCTGGCCGTTAGCCAGGAGGCAGACAAGGTGAGCCCGGGGCCATCGGGGAGGGGGCTCCTGTGGAGGTCCTCCAGTAACAGCACCAAGGAAACGCCTCAGGCAGCTTGGCGTCGGGTGAAATCTGTCAAAACGGAAACCGCATTGACAATTGCGAGTATCTGCCATGCCGCTGTTACACTGTGATGGGGCATGCCCAGCCAGGCCCCACTGACTGTCCCTGTGCCCGCAGTGCCCCACCCTGGAGCAGTATGCCATGCGGGCATTCGCCGACGCCCTGGAGGTCATCCCCATGGCGCTGTCCGAGAACAGTGGCCTGAATCCCATCCAGACAATGACAGAGGTGCGCGCCCGGCAGGTGAAGGAGATGAACCCAGCCCTGGGCATCGACTGTCTACACAAGGGCACCAACGGTGAGGACGGCCACCAGCCGGCTCCTAAGGCCAGTGCTGTTGTGGCATCCTTGGAGCAGGCTCGGGGGACAGCGGCATTCTGCGTCTTCCTTGGGCATGACTATTTGGCCTTGTGACGAGCTCACCTTCACGCGGCTGGGAGGCCTGGGGTTCTGTCAGCTGGGGACTGGTCCGGTCCATCAGCCCCCGCCACGTCACGACAGTTAAGGCACGATGGTTCTGCGCTGCAGACACCGGTTAACGGGCCGTTTGGTGTTTCAGATATGAAGCAGCAGCACGTCATAGAGACCTTGATTGGAAAGAAGCAGCAGATATCGCTGGCGACGCAGATGGTCCGCATGATTCTGAAGATCGATGACATCCGGAAGCCTGGCGAGTCTGAAGAGTGAAGAGGCCGGGATGCGAGTTGCTGTGGTGACGGACCCACCACTACGCTTGCGTAAACGCTGCCCCGTGGTGTGTCCGTTTGCCACTATTTATTATTTCCTGGTTCCGGCAGCGGAGCTGCTGTAATGAAACGGCTGTTTGGACCTGTAGTTTCTGTTGTTTGAAGACGTGATTTTAGGGATGCCTTTTGTATTTGTTGCATTAAAGGAATCTTTAAACGGCCAAACCCGCTGTGGCATAATCAAAGGGCGCCTTTACTGAAGGAGTTTGAGTGGGCTCTTGGGTAGTTCCCAGCACTGATGCAGCATTGGTAATAATATGACCCTGTGTTTGAGTGTGTTGGCACTGCTTCCTGTTGGGTGGTTGGGTCCTTAGATGGGAGACTTCCTCAGGTGAGCATGCCCACCCACTGCACTTGGGGCACCCCAGTGGAACTTGGAAGCTCGCTGCCATGGGAGATCAGAGGGGCAGCAGGGAGAGGCCTGGGAAGGCGGCCCCAGGGTCACCAAGAGGAAGTTAAGACAGGACTGGCTGCTTTAACCCTCCCACTCGGGATTTGGAGCCAGTCTGAATGGGTTCGTGTACCAGGACTGTTTGTAGCTAAGAAAACACATAACTTCATGCTCCCTGCTTTTATCAGAGAAGTTCAAGACCAGTCCCCATCCATATGGGAGCACACGTGCTGGGGTGTTCTGTGTGGTCAGTGAGAGCCACGCAACACACAACTGCCCAAAGCTTTGATTCTCTAAAACAGCACCTCTTCCAGGTGGCCGGGGGCCTGTGTCTTCCCACACGGCATCTTCTATTCCTTTTGTGTGGTGGTAACTGCCACCAATGGCAGTGCCCACTGGTGGTCAGCAGCATGAGGATACAGGGGTGTCGGTATTACTACAGAACCCTAGAAACCTGTATTACACAGAAACAACAAAACGTGAAGCTTGTATAACGCAGCGTGCCTCTACGTCTGCACGCTGCTGAGAGCCGTGTTCCATCGTAACCTTTCTGTGGGCTTCCCGTTCACAGCCAGTCAAAGCAACAGTGGGGCATCTGTGATGCGCTCAAATTATGAAGGTCTCAGAGGGGCCAGATGAGTGCTGGAGGGCGGATGGGTCATGTGTCCCAGTGAAATTCCCATAGGGCAGCCCTTGCTACCCTTAGAGAGTAAACAGGTGCGTTGTCACAATGGGGAAAAACTAGGCACAACTATCACATAATTCACAAACATTTAAAAAAAAAACAAAAAACTAGGCACAACTATCAAATAATTCACAATAAAACATTTTAAAAAATTAGGCACAACTTTCCTGGCCTTTTTCCTCACCAATGTAGTTGCCAGTTTTTCTATAACTTCATAGTAGGCCTCTGGCCATCTTGTGTCCTTTGAGAAAATCTATCAAGATCTCTTTGGGATCCCCAGTTGCCGTAACTTGAACTTGAGCTGACCTCTGCCTTGAATTCCACGGGCCCACAAATCTTGGAAGCCACAGTTGGTGATGAGACCCTTTTGTTTTTGAGGGCACCTTAAGTAGACAGCTGTGTTTTACTAAGAAAACTTGTCTGCAGTGGCCCACTGATGGATGGAGGTGTGTACGGGGGACAGTAACCAGAGGAGCAGTACTCTGGCTCTCAGCAGAGAGTGACCCCGCCCTGAGCTGCCACAGGCAGCTATTAGAACGCCTGGACACCCGACCTGACACGACAAAGGTGACGAGCTGACCCGGAAGTGAACTGTGGCAAATGGGTTCTAACAAGCACCGTGTAGTAACTAGGGAGACACTCCAGGGGGCGGTGTGTGTCTGCATCCACAGAGTAGACCCGGAAGTGAACTGGCTCGCAGGTCCTAACAAGTCTACACAGGAACAAGGGTGCCACGTTCTAATGGGGTGGGGGGGTAGCTTAGTGGTACAGAGGGGACATGTTTGTCAGCACCCACAGGAACACACAACACATCAGAGAGTGCTCTCTGTCCTTATCACTCTATTATCTATAAACCTAAGTTCATGTGGATACCTGGTGTGGGGTAAACACTGGACTGAACCACAAGGTCCGCAGTTAAAACTCCTCCGAAACCCTATACAGGGTCACTAGGAGTTGGAATCGGCTCTACGGCACCTAACACAGAAATCCAGGAAATCAGGTAAACATATCTGTTTATATTCAACATCAGTGAGACCCTCTTTACCCCACGTTGTCAGATGCCAGCCATCGAATTGGTTCTGACTCCTAGCAACCCCTCTGCACCACAGAACAACACTGCCTGGTCCTCCACCCTCCTTACTATCACTGCTGCCACTGTGTCTGTCAATCCATCGCAATGGAGCGCTTCCTCTTTTTCACCGACCCTCCACTTTACCAGGCATGATACCCTTCTCCAAGGAGTATGGTGGTTTTATATGATAAGCACTAGACTGAGAACCACAAGGTTGGTGCTTCAAGCCCACCAGCTGCTCCACAGGAGAAACATGAAGCTTTCAGCTCCTGCAAAGATTTCCCAGTTTGAAAACTCTCTGTACAGGGTGGCTATGAGTAGGAACCAGCTCGACAGCACTGAACAACAGTAGCTGCACTTTACCAGGTTTGATGCCCTTTTCCAGGAACTGATCCCTCCTGAGCACACGTCCAAAGTACAAGAGACAAAGAGTCACCATCTTGGCTTCCAACACAGATTTATTTGTTACTCTGGCAGTCCATGGTACTTTCAATATTCTCCAACATCATAACTCAAAGGCATCGATTCTTCTATGATCTTGCCTATTCATTGTCCAACTTTCAGATGCATTTGTTGTTATTATTAAGTGCCATCAAGTTGGTTCCATAGCGACCCTGTACAGGGTTTCCAAGGAGTAGCTTGAGAGCTTGAACTACCAACCTTGTAGTCAAGTGCTTATCCTATAGTACCATACCAGGACACCAGGTGCATATGACACTATTGAAAATGCCATAGCTTGGGTTCGGCACACTTCAGTCCTCAAAATGACATCTTTGTTCTTGAACACTTTTAACAAGTCTTTGTCTAATGCACTCATTTGATTTTTTTTTTTTTTTTGACTGCTGCTTCCATGAGTGTTGATTGTGGATCAAAACAAAAGGAAATCTTTGACAACCTCAATCTTTTCCCCAATGATCATTATGTTATTTATTAGGACAGTTGTGAGGATTTTTATTTTCTTTACATGGAGATGCAATCCATACTGAAGGCTGTAGTCTTTGGCCTTCAACAGGAAGTATTTCTAGTTCTCTTTGCTTCCAGCAAGCACGGTGTGGCATCTGTATATCGCAGGTTGTTAAGGAGTCTTCCTAAATTCCTGATGCCATGCTTTTTGTATAATTTACCTGGATTGTTTGCTCAGCGTACAGACTGAATAAGTATGGTGAAAGAATACAGCCCCTGCACACAGATGTCCTGAATGTAAACCATGCAATCAATGTCTCCTTATTCTGTTCCAACCACTGTTCCTCATGAGCACAATTAAGTGATCTGTAATTCCCAGTCTGTGCAATGTTACTCATAGTTGGTTATTATCCACACAATGGTATGCATTTGTACAGTCAATAAAGCAAAAATAAACATCTCTCTGGTATTTTCTGCTTTTAGCCAAGATCCATCTGACATCAGCGATGGCATCTCTCCTTCCAAATCCTCTTCTGAATCTGCCTCAAACTGCCAGCAGTTCCCTGTCAATGTACTGTTGCAGCTGATTTTGAATGATCCTTAGCAAAATTTTAATTGCATGGGATATTATTTATTTTATCTGATAACGGCCACATTCCCCTGGGTCCCACATTCTCCTTGGAGTGGATATGGATCTCTTCCAATCAGTTGCCCAGATAGCTGTCTTCCAAACTTCTTGGCATAGATAAGTGAGTGCCTCCAGTGTTGCATTAGTTTGTTGAAACATTTCAGTTTGGATCCTGTCAATTTCTGGATCTTTGTTTTTTTGCCAATGCCTCCAGTGAAGTTTGAATTTCTACCTTAAATACTACTGGACCTTGATCATATGGTACCTTTTGAAATGGTTAAACATCAACCAATTCTTTTTTGGTACAGTAACTCTGTATATTCCTTCCATCTTCTCTCAATGCCTTCTGCATCATTCAATATTTTGCCCTTAGAATTCTCCAATATTGCAAATTGCCACTTTACATTTTTCTTCAGTTCTTTCAACTTGAGAAGTGCTGAGCATGTTTTTCCCACTTGGATTTCTAACTCCAGGTCTTTGCACATTTCACTATAATTTGAAATTTTTGGCTTGAGTTTGTCCTCTCCGGCTGCCCTTTGAAATTTTCTGTTCACATCTTTCTCATTCCCTTTTTTTAGAAGCTTTTATTTTGAATTGAGTAATAGTTTACATGGAAGAATATCGGTTTTGCACTCAACCTATGGTATTTTGTTTCACTGCAATGATTACAATCACCTGCAGGCATCATCGGTTATTAGTATTTGCTTATATCCCCTCTGGTTGTTTTTTTTGGGGGGGAGGGAGGAGGTTTGTTTTGTTTTAATGTACACAAAAACATTCAGAAATCATTCAAACAACCAAAGGACACATTCTGCAAGCCTGCCTCCAGGCCGCCGGCACACAGCCTTTCTCTTTCCATCTGTCTAGTGTCCTCAGCTGCTTTCGCTCTCCATGTCCTCATCTCTGCCTCCATTTCTGGTGTCACTGCTTCTCTGGTTAGGGTCCCACATTCTGATCATGCTCCTCCCTCTTGATGGTCCTAGGGCCCTCTGTTCCTGGCCTGTAAGATTAACTACTCTCCCAAAGTCTACTTTTATAGTTGTGACAATCGCAATTAGTCATGATAACAATTACTATTGAATCAAATGAATTCTATCCCCATCTCCTTTCACCAGACCCATCTAGACAAGACAAAAATTAGCCAGTGAGGATTGTACCTTTCCCTGCACACTCTGAAACTAAGCTCTCTTAAAAACTTCATGCCTTTATACACACCACCCCCCTTCCCCCATTTTAGTTAGCCAGTGTCTAAGTTGCCTGTC